CAGCAGGACCTATATTGAAAAATGGAATCCACCAGTGTGTGGAAAGAGGATTTGCAGTTAATGCTTCTAGAAACAGTACAGCTTCTCAAAGTCCCATTCAACTGATACTCCATATAGCTGCAGCCTGAACCTGCAGATTTCAACTCTTCAGCAACTTAGAGATATCAACATGTTTTTTCTTTCACCTGAGACATCAGAACAGGACCTGTTACCTTTGTCACCATGGACTTTTATTAATTGCCCCATTCCTCCCTTCCCTTCTCAAGCCCTGCACAAGCAGCTTCTTGCCTCCTCCCATCTCATAAATGTCTCATTGGGTTCATATGTTTCTAAACTTTTCCATAAATCAAACTGGTCTCTGTCTCACACAGTCCTCATAGCTGACTTCATCTTTGTTGCTCTTCATGCCACCTAGGCTAGGTTCAGAAACTGCACATAAACCAGTAAAAGTGATTGGAAAATGGTTTAAATCTGTAACAGAACAGAAGTTCAGTGTACATAAATAAACTGCTTTCAAATGACTGAAATTGGTTTAAGATAAACTTGGATAGATGTAATATCAGACTTAACTAATTTAGGTTAAATTGCTTTATTGACCTTCTGTCCCCAAATCCCTCCAGATGCAATGTTAATTCACAGTCCTCCAGCATCCCAGGATGCTTGGCACCTCCCCTGCAACCTTCCTGTCACAGGGTGGGTGAGCTAGCCTTGGCCCAAGCTATCTATTCCAACTGAGCACCCCCTGGATTCTGGCCTGGGCCACTGCAGGCATGTGGCTGTATCTCCAGAATCAAAATTGTATGTCTGTTCCTTTATTGGGTCAATCTACACAGTTTACACTAACCAGCAAAGATTGAATAGGATTCAGCCTTGGGCTTTTTGACTGCCTGTACTTTGCCCTAATGTTCCATTTCATGTGTCCTCAATCCTATCCTCCCCTTTCTACCCTTTTTCCTTCCATTTCCCCACTCCATCTTGATTTCTTGTTACAGCTAAAACACATATATACATAAAACAGCTGCATTGTGCATAAACTCTCAAAGGAGTGATAATGGGATCCAGCATCAGATCCTATCATGCCTTATCGTCGGTACAGGGGAAGCCTAGGATTGCTATCCCAGGCTCTCCTTGAACCGGCAAATAGTAAGCTCCTACAGCTGTGAGTCCTGCAGCTAGAATTCTCCATCCCAACAGCTGAAGGGTGCTCCTGGGACAGAGTCCTACAGCTGCAGGGTACTGCCAGGGCCTAGAGACCCCTCAGCTGTTGGATTCCCAGCCCCAGCGGTGCATAGTGCACCCCTGCAGCTGGAAGCCCTGTCAGCTGATGGGCTTCCATTCACAGGATGAGACGCTGCTACATATGCAAATTAAAGCTGGATAGAAGCCAGCTATAAAATTATTGCACACTTTCTAGCTCCAACTTTATAGCTGGTTGGACATTTTTATGGCATGATAGTTACTTTGCACATGTAGCCGGTCTAAATTAATTGCATAATTAATCAGTTAATTGTGTAATACATGTAACCTGTAGAGCAGGCCATAGTAATGCAGATGTACAGACAAACTGCTGCCTGCTATATTATTCTGTACAACTACAACAAACTTTGGAAATGAAGTACAATTTTCAAGCAAATATGGTATGCAGATAAAAATACTTGCCTATGCACTTTTGAAAACTTAACTGCAAATGTGAGAAAATATCCCAAAATGGATTTTGTTACCAAACACATACAATAAGCATAGTTACTAGTATCAAACATTTTATATCGTCAGTAGAGGAAAATGGCTGTTCCTCATGACGTTGACACTTCAGTTTATGATTCTTAACCCATGCAATGAGACTGTGACTGAGAACCACCTCTCATCATTTTTGTTTATACTCCATTCCTG